ATTTTTTTATGTTCATTTATTTGTAGTAGTGGGGTGATGTGCCACAGGGCACATGTGATGATCAGAGGACAGCCTTTGGGAGGTCAGGTCTCTCCTTCTACCATGTGAGTCCTGGAGATCAAAAGATTGTCAGGTTTAGTGGCAAACACCTAAGGATAAATTTTTTTCATTTCAAAGTCTTTTTTTTCTTTTATAATTTTTCTTTAGCATTATTACTTACAAAAATTATAACAAATTAAGGATTTTACAGTGTTTTTAAAATTGTTGTTCCTCATTGTAACACAGAAAAAGTATCTTAGGTGATGGCCTTTCTTGTCACCTTCGTACTGCTATTACTGTATTTCTGTACTTTTCAGTCCTCCAACTGAAGATCATTGAATTCAAACCTGGGTTGTTTTCGTGGACGGGTGGAGTCTTACTTGTTTGCTTTATTAGTTTTTTTTTCCCTCCTTTCTTAAGCTTCCAGATGAGAAACTAATACTGTGTTCTACAGAAATGAGCAGAGAATATTGTCATCCATTGTATGCTTAGCACCACTAAGGGTTTTGTGCTGTCATAGATAAAGTGGAGTAGGTGCTGCCATAGCTGGTGGCTATTGGGAAAAGAGCCTTCTTCACAGACACTGGAGTTGTGTAGATTCTCTTGTAAACATTTCATTATACTTCAGGTAGTATCACTTAAATGGCATTTCATAGTGTAAATGTATTTGATTTTTGTTGTTGTTGTTTCTCAAGTACTGTTTGTACTCAGAAAGGCCATGGACTAGAGATTTACATTGACTTCCAGCGATTCTACATGTGAGACAGAATATTCAGTATTTGTCTTCCTGAGCCTGGCTTATTTCACTTACATGCTTATCTCCAGTTCATCTGGTTTTCCTGAAAATTACTTAATTTCATTCTTTGTGGCTGAATAATTTGAATTACTTTTTCTGTCATGTAAGGCTCTTCAGCTAAGGACAATAATCATAAAAAGTAAGCAGAACAAAATGTGGAAAAGGGAAAGGAAAACCATGACACAATTTTTCAAGTAATGAATTGCACATAGTTAATCATTTGAAAGCATCTTTACCTTGGGACCTGGAGAAATTGCTCAGTGGTTAAGAACACTTGCTGCTCTTGCACAGGACCCAGCTTTGGTTTCCAGCACCCATGTGGCTGCTAACAATCATCTGTAATTCCAGTTCCAGGGAATCCAATACCCTCTGCTGGCCTCCATGGGTGTTGCATGCACATAGTATACTTACATACATACAGGCAAAAACACTCCATATATAGAAAATAGGACTTTTTAAAAAAAGACTACTTACCCTGATTTTATAACCAGAAAAGAACTGGTCATTCAGTTCCATTGTTGTATGTGTATAATTGATGATTGATTCTAAAACTAAAATGTCAGACTAATCTTGAGAAGGGGAGAGAAGATGGTTGGAGAATATTGCCACCAGGAAATTATATAAGATCCCAGTTCCCTGTCCCAGACCATCTGTTCTTAAGCCACCACGATACCTAGGCACAGCCTCCAAATGACACCATTGGGTGAGCCTCTTACGCCCAGAAAGCACTACTGAGTAGACCTGTCTACTGTTCTGGAGACACAGGGGTTCCTGGTAAATAGGATGGATCACAGGACTTGATCCACGCCATTAACATGAAACTGAGTTGTACTTTATGGAGTATTAAGGTGATAAAAGAGGTAGACCTTCTTCTACCTCCAGGCCAGTGAACTCAGTTCATCCTGCTGTCAGGATGTCAGGTCAGGCCTGAGATACAGAAAAAACAAACACTGTTCTTCCTTTTGCACAGTGTTCATAAAAGAGGGCAGGCAGCAGCAGGAACAGAAGGCCTGTTGTCATTGCTGTTTCAAGGACAGTGCCCCTACTACTTCAGAATCAGTTCTAATGCACCAAAGTCATAGAGACTCAGACTAGCAGGCACCCTTACTTCTCCTAAGCAACAGGGCCAATATGATGATGGTAACTGAGGTGTTCTGTACTTGGGTGCAGTTTGCTTTTCTGCAGATAGCGGTCAGATCTCTACCAATCCCCCCTGGACAAGATAGAGAACCAAGGGCTTTCCCCAGTCATGGCTCCTTGACATACTGAAGTATGGTTCTGTCAAACAGCATCTGAGGGCTCCCCCAAGGCTGCTCTAGGACCTAGCCTGCAATGCCCAAGCTGGAGGAATTTTGGGAGCCATTGTGAGACCAGAGTTGCACTTAAAAGGAAGCGCCCTGGTGTTCCCGAGGGGATTTCTAAGACCTGGAGAGCTACGGAGCTGGGGCTGGAGCTCAGCAGTTAAGAGCACTTACTACTCTTGAAGAGGACACAAATTCAGTTCACAGCACCCACATTAGGTGGTTCACAACTGCCTGTAACACCAACTCCAAAGGACCCAATGCCCTCATCTGGTGCCTGGACACCTGCACTCACATGCACATACCCACACATAGGTGATAGGTGCACATAATTAAAAACAAAGTCCTTAAAATCGTGTGTGTGTGTTTTAAAAGAATGGCAGAGCTAAAGTATGAAGAACTGTAACCTGATCTTGGCCATCTAAGTTAGATTGCCCCATATTATCTAAGTAAATAAAGCTCCCCCCCCCACCTTGTTCTGATCTGACAGGAGTTGGGTGGGAGTAGGCAGTCAGAGAGCCAGTACTAAAAGACTCATTTTGGCTGTATTTAAGAAAGCCCAATTTTAGTCTCAGAGTACTGTTTGGATTGTTAGAAATAATGCTCCATACAGTGCCTGAAGGCAACAGTTTACAAAGTTGTGTAAGGAAATAACAAAATAAAACCAAATTGGCTTAGCAATTTACAAAACAGTAGACAGTTGTAGTATGGATGATATCAGCATTTGTAAGTTTTCTATTAGAATCTTTGTACCTTGGAGAATTATAAAACCATTATAATTTTACAGTTATATAAAGAATTTTTTATACATTATTTGGGCCAGGGGTGATGGCACACACCTTTAATTCTAGTACTTGAGAGGCAGAGGCAGGGGGATCTCTCTGTTCAAGGCCAGCCTGGTCTACATAATCAGTTCCAGGCCCTTCAGGGCTACATAGTGAGACCCTGTCTTTAAAAAAACAAAACAAGGCCGGGTGTGGTGAAATGGTTCAGCAAGTAAAAGCACTTGTTGTGTAATCCTGACAAGTTGAATTTGAGTTGCCAAACTCATGTAAAGGTAGAAGGAGAGCACCAACTCCACAAAGCTGTACTCTGACCTCCAAATCCATGCTGTGGTACCACCACCCCCAATTTAAAAAGTTGAAGCTGGGCATGGTGGCACACACCTTTAATCCCAGCACTTGGGAGGCAGAGGCAGGTAGATCTCTGTGAGTTCAAGTCCAGACTGGTCTACATAGTGAGTTCCAGGTCAGCTGGGGCTACAGGGAGACCCTGTCTCAAAAAGGAAAACAAAATCCCCCACAAAACTAGGCATGGTGGCACACACCTTTAATCCCAGCACTCAGGAGACAGAGGCAGGCAGATCTCTGTGAGTTCAAGGGCAGCCTGGTCTACATAGCTCCAAGCCAACTGGGACTTTAAAAAAAAGCATTAACCTGTGCATTTGAAGCAAAATTAGAGTCTTTAGGATTGTAGACCTTTTACAAGTGAGAAAACAATGTCATAAACTTATTACCTGATCCACATCCCACTTATATAATAGCTCTACTGAGGTATAAAGTAGTCAATTTAGACTGCAAGCCAAATACTTAAATGATTCCATACTTTGTTAAAAGCTGACAAAATTAGCACTTTGTAAATTTTGTTAATAGATCAACTTTTTGTGGAGAATTTTTTTCAGTACATATATTTATTGAATCTTTGTGCATTTCATACAAAACATCTTAATCATCTTTATACCTCCTCTCCCATCCACACCCCTCACAGTTCTCCCCCAATGAATTTCATGCATTCTGTCATATACATTAAGGCCCACTGTTTGTTTACCCAGATGTCTGTCAGTGCAAGTTCGTCTACTAGAGTCTAGTCAGCCTGTCTAGAATCTCTTAAAGAAGATCAGTTCTCTCACACACAGCAGTAATCAGTCCTTCAGCTAAGGTTGGGGCCTGCTGTCCATTTCCCCAGTTTTATGCTGGATTTTTGTCTGTCTGACTGACTTTGTGTGGTTCTTGTGCATGCTGTCACAATTGCTGCAAGTTCATATGCGTAAGTTCTCGGAAGCCTGGAAGACTTGTTTCTTTATGGTCTTGCACTAATCCTGGCTCTTAAAATCTTTCCACCCCCTCTTCCTGAACCATGGGTGGGTAAGGTTTAATAAAGGAGTCTTATACAGGGACATGCTCTCTGCAGTCTCTTATGCACTACACTTTGGCCAATTTGTGGCCTTCTCTGTGCATTGTATTCTGTTGTGTGAGGAAGCCTTTGCTGGTGAGAGTTGAGAGATGTAATAGTATCTCTACCCCCTTTTCTGCTATGTTCCATGAGCCTTACATTTAGAGGTTCCATTATAGATGTGTCACTTAGGACTGGGCACCTATCAGACACTTAATTCTCTGTGCGTCACCAGTTGTGGAATTTTATAGTAGTCTACATCTGTTGGAAAAAGAAGCTTCTTTGGCCAACATTTTCTAAACATTTAAGAAGCTTTAAATATAAAGAACTAGAAAATCTTACAAGCTTTCAGCAATAGCTGATCTAATTATATATAAATTATTTATCATAAGATTCGCCCTTTATAAAATACCTACAGTTGAGTCAGACTTTCATAACTTACCTAGATTTTTGTTACTAAAACATAATCCTTAGATTGCTATAAAATATCCTTGGGATCAGAAAATCATATGTATGATATTAGTATCCCTTTAAGTCATCTGTCTCTCTGTCATCAAAAAAAAACCTATATACAAATATCTAAAAACATGAGAATGAATAAAAAATAAAAAATAATAATGGAAACATCGATATTTAATCATTGGTTTAAAATGTAAGGTTTAAAATTCTTTTTGTGCTGTTCCTATACATAGGTGCCTGGAATACTTATTAAGAAATGATGCAAATCCAGGGATCCGGGACAAACAAGGATACAATGCAGTTCATTACTCAGCTGCATATGGTCACCGTCTATGTCTTCAGCTGGTAAGATTGCTGAATTCTTATGATAGGACTAATGTGAGTTTTTAGTCTAGTAACCAATGAACATGAGAATAGATGGTTCTGGAAACAGACTGAGTTTTAACATTTTCAGACTACAAATATCTCTTAAATTCATACTTGGCTTCATAGGAATCTTTCATTTCCCTTTTCCTTTTGATAAAGAAAGGAGATAAGTGTAAATGACTGGAACTTAGTTTGGTAACACACCTATAAAATTAGTACTTGGAAGGCTAAGGCAATAAATTCTATGCTAGCCTGAGCTACAGTAAACTGTCTCAAAGGAGAAAAGAAAGAAGGGGAAAAAAAAAAAAAGCTTTAATTAACTCTGAAGAGAGTCAGCAGGCACAGTGGTACATGTCTATAGTCCTACGTGGGAGACTGAGGATGGCTTGAGCCCAGGACAAGGTAGTGAGATTCTGCCATTTTCAAAAAGCCAGATAAAAACATCTCTGGAGAGCCAGGCATGGTGGTGCAAGCCTTTAATCCCAGCACTTGGGAGGCAGAGGCAGGTGGATCTCTGTATGTTCAAGGCCATCCTGGTCTACATAGTGAGTTCCAGGCCAGCTGGAGCTACAGGGAGACCCTATCTCCAAAAGAAAAGAAAAAAAAAAAAAGAAAAAAATTAACAAAGCCCTGTATAAATAAAGTTGTAAAATATGTGATTTAATATATATGAGTACTTAACGTTTTTTTTAACCTTTATTTCAGATTGCAAGTGAAACTCCTTTAGATGTTGTAAGTATTGTTTGATCACCAGTCATTCAGAAATTAGAATTGAAGTCATACATGTTTTCATATCTCCCTAAGAACAAAGACAGGAACTTAAATATGTGTTGGTGTGGGGAAGTGTTTACATTGCCCCAGTGCCCTAGTTTATAAGCCTTCCTCTGAGGTCTGAGTCAGTGGTTCTTGCTATGCTTTTGTGATTATTCTGTTCTGTGAGCTTGCTGAGTATTTAAAACTTATACTCTAAAATGGATTTGAGGGGCTGGAGAGATGGCTTAGCGGTTAAGAACACTGGTTGTTCTTGCAGAAGACCCGGGTTCAAATCTCAGTACCCATGTGGCAGCTAACAGCTGTCCGTAACTCCAGTCCCAAGGAATCCGACAGCCTCTTCTGACCTCAGAGGGCATTGCACGACACAAGTGCACTTACCTACGTGCAGGCAATACATGCATACACATAAAATAAAAATAATAAATAAAATTTTTTTAAATTATTTAATAACCACATAATTAAAAGAAGCATTTCATTACAACAGCATTGACATATTCAATAACAATTTCCAGAGCTAAGATGCCTCTCTTTCAAAATTGGCTATAATAAATTTTTTTTTAAAGTTTAAAAAAAAATAAAATGGACAAGAGAGGGAAGAAAAAACTGCTATAATATATATAAAAGCATCTAACATTTGTGAATGCCTCTCCTTTTTTTAGTTAATGGAAACCTCTGGGACAGACATGTTGAATGATTCAGATAACAGAGCAACAATAAGCCCTTTACACTTGGCTGTGAGTATTGATTTCATAGAAGTGTGATGGGTTCACTGAGGATACCTAGTATCTATGTGTTGATGCAAACTAATACCTGGATGTTTGGTCCTTGTAGTAATTACATGGAATTAAAGCTTTAAGAACCTTGGGGCTGGAGAGATGGCTCAGCGGTTAAGAGCACTGACTGCTCTTACAGAGGACCCAGGTTTGAATCCCAGCACCCACATGGTGGCTAATAACTTCCTATAACTCCAGTTCTAGGGGATGCGACACCCTCCTCTGACCTCCAAGGGCATTGCGCAACACGGGTGCACTTTCCTATATGCGGGCAGTACGCTCCTCATACGCATAAAAATAATAAACACTTTTAAAAAGCTTTGAGAACCTTTTTAATCTAAAGAATTTAGTGCACCCTTGTTTTCTGCTTGTTGCTTTGCTTTTTTAGGTGGTGCTCCTTGGCTCCCTTGAGCCCTACTTATAAGAGAGAGTGTGTGACTTTGACATGAGTTACAATGCTCTGCCCTAGTTGAAGAACTTCTTTGTTAAGCAGATAGTCTTTCCCCACCCTCACCCCCACCCCCACCCCTGTTCCTGATGAAGAACTACAGTTTCCCACCCACTTTTAGATTCCCCTGACTTTTTCCTCTCAGTGTCAGTCACTAAGCCAAGAAGATTAGAAAATATTAAGTAGAACACAACTTAGCTCTTCTGTACTCAAAGAATTTATTTTTTAAACAAAGCATATTGGGTGGCGAATGTTGATCATGTGAAGACTAGTATGCCTTCACTAGCTGTTTAGGACGTCTGATGTTAAGCATAGTAAAATACTCACAGGGTGTGTTCCTCGTCGACTGCCAATCACTAGAAGTTCAATAGTCTTTTTCTTTTCACCTGTACTTTTATTTTTTTCTTATCTCCTTGCATGTTCCAACACTGACACACCACACTGGATCGTCTCCTTGCTCCTGCTCTCCATAGTACTTCTTGCCATGTTCTAAACTGAGAAGACATCCTGAAGTGCTCTGTTTCCTTGTCTTCTGAGTCCTTATAAATAGTTATCTCTGGCCAGCCTGGTGGTGCACACCTTTAATCCCAGGCGGATCCCTGTGAGTTCAAGGCCAGCCTGGTCTACATAGTGAGTTCCAGGACAGCTGGGGCTACAGGGAGACCTTGTCTCAAAAAGATTTTAAAAAAAAAAAAAAAAAAAAAAAAAAAGGAAATAGTTATCTCCTCTGTGAGACTTTCATAAAAAATAGTCTGAAAATGCAAAGTCATGGAGAAAGTAGCTGTTTTACTATTGGTGACAAGAAATGAGCTTTGAGCAGATGGCTAGGCAGTTCTTGCACTGTCGCTGTCAGTTTGACAGTGTAATTGTGCTCTCATTTCTTGAGCCAGACTTTGCCTTTGGTGCAGATTCAGTAAATTAGCAACATACTAAAGGTTTCCAAATCTTACAGTCTGTCATAGAACTGTCTTAATAACTTAATGATGTTGTTACTTTTCTGTTCCCCAATCTGACAAATTCCTCCTTTTTCCCTTCCTTACTCATAGGGTCTTCCTTTGTAGCTAGCCTTGAACTCGGGGTGCTCTAGCTTCATCTTCCCATAGGCTATGAATATAGGCATGTGCCATCACATAAAATGTACTTTGGTAAGCATCTCTTAGAGTATGGTTCAGTAGTGTTACTTATATTCACCTTGCATAACCAATCTCCAGAACTTTTGCAAAATTGAAGTTCTTAACTCAGAACTAAAGTTTAAGTTCCAAACAATGGCTACATATTGGGCCCTGCCCACCTGTTAACCATAAATTTGACTAACCTTATACATTTAAGTGGTATACAATACTTCTCTTTTTGTTTTGGTTTTGGTTTTTTTTTTTTTAATATTTTGTTTGTATTTTTTTAGTATTTTATTATGTGTATGAATGTGTTACCTGCATGTATGTGAGTGCACCTGTGTCATGCAATGCCCTAGAGGTCAGAAGAGGGCTTCAGATTCCCCTGGAACTGGAGTTAAGGACAGTTGAGTTCTGGGAATCGAACCCGGGTCCTCTGCAAGAGCACTCAGTGCTCTTAAACTCTGAGCCATTCTCCAGCCCCTACTTCTCTTTTTGTAAGTGGCTTTTTTCACCTACCACACTTTCCCACTGTTTATCTGTACGAATTTCCTTCACTTTTTAGATTACGTGTGCATGCTGCATTTTGTTTATAGTCAGCTTATCATTGGACACCTAGGCTGCTCCATCTGTAGGCTATGTGAATTGAGTGGTGCTGTAAGCATAGTTGTGCTAGATATTTTCTCTAAACTAAAATGGACACAGATATGATTTAATAATTAAATTCAATGTAATGCGATTACATTGCTATTTTGCATTTTATATCTAATCCTGAGATTTTTAGAAATTAAGTTTAAACTCTCCTTTTTTTTTTTTTGTCTTTTTGAAGCAGGGTCTCCCTGTAGCCCCAGCTGTCCTGGAACTCACTATATAAACCAGGCTGGCCTTAAACTCACAGAGATCCGCCTGCCTCTGTCTCCCAAGTGCTGGGACTACAGGCATGCACCACAATGCCCAGCTTAAACTCTCCTTTTTAAGGCAACTTTATACAGTTTTTAAGGCAACACTGGCCTGAGGCTTAAGGAGATTACTTTATTCCTAATGTTGCTGATACTAGACATAGAGGCTCTTCTGTTGATTCTGTAGGGGACACGATAGAAGAGCCCTGTAATGAACCATCAGGATTCGTTAGTTTGTCCTGATTTTATGTACTATTTTATGTGTGTCCAGTGAGAATCCTCAAAAGTCATTCTTGGAGTGAGTAGCGTAATTCCATTCACCTGATACTGACATAAAATTACATGATCCCAAAACAGGATCAGGATTCCTAGTCTGTCCTGATTTTATGTACTATTTTATGTGTGTCCAGTGAGAGAATCCTCAAAAGTCATTCTTGGAATGAGTAGCCTAATTCCATTCACCTGATACTGACAAATAAAATTACATGATCCCAAAACAATGATCAGTAAAGCCAAGAGAAGCTTTATCTTTATTGGTACTTTTTGACCCACCCACCCCCACCCCCGTGGAGGCTCTGAACTCTTCTATACCCCAATTTCAGTCCATCTCCTAAATGTTTTTAGGGTCTCAATTTTTTTTTTTTTTTTTTGGTCTTTTTGAGACAGGGTCTCCCTGTAGCCCCAGCTAACTTGGAACTCTTTGTAGACCAGGCTGGCCTTGAACTCACAGAGATCCGCCTGCCTCCGTCTCCCAGGTCCTGGGATTAAAGGCCTGTGCCACCATGCCCAGCTTCAACTTTTTAAATTGGGGGGTGAGGGGAATGTGGTACCACAGCATGGATGTGGAGGTTAGAGGACAGCTTTGTGGAGTTGGTGCTCTCCTTCTACCTTTACATGAGTTTGGGAACTCATATTCAACTTGCCAAGATTGCACAGCAAGTGCTTTTACTTGCTGAACCATCTCACCAGCTCATTTTTCTAACCATCTGCACAAAAAGTACTGCTTTATCATCTTTTAAGACTTACTATTGCCTTATGTCCTATACAGTATCCAGGCCAGTATAAATAATATATCTTGGTTTTTGGAATGGGTTATCTGGAAAACTTCAGTATGCTGTGTGATAGAGAGTGTCATATATTCTGATATCTTTAAATCTTACTTTCTTGCACAGCTAGGACAATGTCCAACATCTTTTGAGTGTTCAGTCAGGTCTCAAATATTTTTGTGCTGAAAGATATGTTTGAGCTCTGGTATATTATGGGATATACCATAATCTGAGACTCAAAAGACTTGGGCAATAAATGACTAAATTTACCGGTCCCTGGGATTTAAGTCTAGTAAAATGCTGTCAGGAAGTTAATGTCAGTTAGTTGAACTGTGATTAAGAACACCAGCTTTGGGGTCATAGACTTAACAATCTGAGCTTTCAGTGATTCCATGTCACACATTAACCACCTGGGTTTTTAATATTTATGGAATATGTGTTCCCTGGTAGGGCAGCCTACTATGTTTATTAGAAAATTTTATGGTTTAAACTTTCTGACTTCTTAATGTAAAAGTTTTATTTTATGTCAAATGTGTAGCAAAATGAATTTGCTTACATTTTCTAAAATACTGGGGTATTGGAGATCTGTGATAAAGCACTTACCTAGAATGTACACATCTCTAGATTATATCCCCAGAACCAAAAAAAAAGGAAGAAAATAAAGAAAAATAAATACTTGGGGAGTTGGTCTAAATATGTATTTTTTAATTCATATTTATATTTTTACTTCTAGGCCTATCATGGTCACAATCAAGCACTGGAAGTGTTGGTACAGTCTTTGTTAGATCTTGATGTAAGAAATAGCAGTGGAAGAACACCCTTAGATCTCGCAGCATTTAAAGGCCATGTTGAATGTGTGGATGTACTCATCAATCAGGGAGCCTCCATCTTAGTAAAAGATTATATTTTGAAGAGAACACCTATACATGCTGCAGGTATGCCAAATACTACTACACTTGATTTACCACAAAATCTTGTGTCCTTTTTCATACTACTACTACTACAGGTAATTATAACCAAATGATTATATTCTAAAGGAAAAATCAATAGCAAAATATAGTCACTTTTTGAAAACATCTGCCTTGGATGTTGTACTTATATAGTATTTAGATTATCAAAAAATTTACTTTTTTAAAAAATATTATTTTTATGTGCATGAATGTTGTGCCTGCATGTAGGAAAGTACACCTATGTCGTACAATGCCCACGGAGAACAGAGGAGGCTGTCGGATCCCCTGGAACTGGAGTTACGGACAGTTGTTAGCTGCCATGTGGGTGCTGGGATTCGAACCCGGTTCTTCTGCAAAAACAGTCAGTGTTCTTAACTGCTGAGCCATCTCTCCAGCCCCTCCATTTTTTTTTTCTTTTTTTTCTTTTTTAAGGTAGGGTCTCACTCTGAAGCCCAGGCTGTCTTGGAATTTATTATGTGGACCAGGCTAGCTCAAACTCACATGCCTAGCACTTGTTTTTTACTTCTTTCTAATGGAAATTATTTTAGATTGACATGTGCTTTCACTTTAAATTAATGGCTTTTTTTTTTTTTTTTTTTAATGTGTATGAGTGTATTGCCTTCATGTATGTGAGTACACCGGTGTTGTGCAGTGCCCTGGAGGCCAGAAGAGGGCTTCAGATTCCCCTGGATCTGTAGTTAAGGACGGTTCGTAGCTGCCATGTGGGTGCTGAGAATCGAACCCAGGCCTCTGCCAAGAACAGTCAGTACTCTTAAAAGCTGAGCCATCTCTCCAGCCCCTATTTTTACTTACTTTACCAGAATACCAACCTCTGCAAGAACTTCCCTATGTTACAGTTTTATAATGTTGCCACTGTATGGTGGAAAAAAATGCGAGGACCTGTAACCAAGTCATTGAAATGTGGAGAAAGACTGGTTAGCTCCAGGAAGAAAGAAGAAAGAAAAAGAAACCTGTCATTAACATTACTTGGTACCAGCTGTGTATCACAAGGAGATGCGGATTTTACAACTGTTTATAGGAATTACTGGAAGGCAGTATTCATTCTAAATAACCCAAACTGGTATAATTGAAAAATATTAGCCAAATATTTTTCTTAGTTCCAATTGACTACCTTTATGTGATCCAATTCATTTTACTTAATCTGATTTATGAATTCATTCTTAAGAACACATTCAAATATATGACTTAAGTTGTGTTTGTACTATTTGGGGAAAGATACATTCTAGAGGACTGTAGGAAGCACTTGCTGTTGCTCCCAGAGCAGCTTTATTAAACTGCTAAATATAAGCTCAGAGATAGTGCATTTTAATGAATAAACATCCTAGTAAATGTAAGAACTATCATGTGATATGAATAAGAGGTCAAATGCAGTCATTTTCTACCTATAAAAAACAAGCAAAGTTATATTTATAGTTAGAAAATTATTGTAACCATAGATCATTTATAGAGCCAATTTAAAGCTTAAATGAAGAATTTGCTGGGTTGGGGATTGGTCCCCCTTTTTTTGGTCTTTTTGAGACAGTGTCTCCTTGTAGCCCCAGCTGACCTGGAACTCACTGTGTAGACCAGGCTGGCCTTGAACTTGCAGAGATCTGCCAGCCTCTGCCTTCCAAGTGCTGGGATTAAAGGTATGTGCCACCATACCCGGCCTGGTCTTGTTTTTAAAAATGGGTTCCGACCAACCAAAGCCAGCCTAGAACACTGCTGTATGTAGCCCATGATTGCCTCAGGCTAATACCCTCTCAAGTGCTAGGTGTGTAGGCAGCCACCGCTCTCAGTCCTGTGCATCCTTGATAGGTAACTGTTGAACTAAGTGATGCAGCATATGTGATACCCACAAAAAAGCTGCAGCTGAATACATACCATTGTTCTATAGATGCCTTTCAAAGATCTTCTTTCTTACATGCCAGTGGAAAGCACAAAGGGTTTTTTTTCTGAAGGTTAAGCAGTCTTTTCTCTTTTTTTGTAATTAATTATTTAATAACCACATAATTAGAAGGATTTCATTACAACAATGTTGACATATTCATTAACAATTTCCAGAGCCAAGATGCACGTCTTTCAAAATTGGCTGTAAACTTTTAGGTTTACAGTTGAATAGATACAGTTATACATTATTGTACTCACTATAAACCCTATAAGATATAAAATTAAATAAGGTTTTAGCCTTTAAAAAAGATCTCCATAGTCCAGGCATGGTGGTGCACGCCTTTAGAGGCAGAGGCAGGCGGATCTTTGTGAGTTCGAGGCCAGCCTGGTCTACATAGTTCCAGGACAGCTGGGGCTACAAGGAGACCCTGTCTCAAA